AACTGCTCCCCTACCAGCCTGATTGCTCCTAACTGCCTTTCTCATGCTGGCCTGGTCACCCCTAACTGCCCCCTCTGCTGGCCTAGGCCCCCCCCCCCCCAACTCCCTTCCCCTGCTGTCCTGGTCCCCCCCCAATTGTTCTCCCCTATGGGCCTGGTCCCCCCCAACTACCCTCTTCTGCTGGCCTGGTCTCTTCTTACTGCCCTCCTCTACTGGTTCAGTCACCCCTAACTGCCCTCCCCTGTAGGCCTGGTTTCCCCACAACTGCCCTCCCCTGCAGGCCATCTAGAGGCGGCCATCTTGTGTCCACATGGGGGCAGCCATCTTTGACTACATGGGGTGGCCTTCTTGTGTCTTGGAGTGATGGTAAATTTGCATATTACTATTTTATTAGGATTTCTAACAGACTTTTTCTATAATTTTTAATTTGTTTACAAGAGTAAAATTCAACCTCAGAACTTTTTTTTTTTTTTTTTTAGGGGGATGGGAGTGGGGTTATTACCAGACAAGTTCTGAACAATATAGAAACTTTTTCTGTTGGGGAATCTCATGTTTTAGATTCCATTAGTTATACAAATAGAAAATGTCTGTATGCTTATCTCTCATCTTACAGCCAGGCAGGCCTAAAGACTCCATACACTCTCAGATTAGTTACAAAATGCAATTAAGACAGATCAGGTATTTCCTGACATTTTAAAACAAGGGACTCTTATCTGTTTGTTTGGAGGTCTCTAATCAAGCTGGGAATCCTGAGCTGAAGGAGTGAGCCACAAGCTATCTGTTAAATGTTTCAGCCCCATTCGAGTTTCAATACATTCAGCCCTACTTTATTATTTTAATGACTGATTGATTTTTTAAAAAAAATATTTTTTATTGATTTCAGAGATGAAAGGAGAGAGAGAGAGAAATAGAAACATCAATGATGAAAGAGAATCATTGTTTGGCTGCCTCCTGCACACCCCACACTGGGGACCAAGCCTGCAACCCAGGCTTGTGCCCTGACTGGGAATGGAACTGTGACCTTCTGGTTCATAGGTTGACACTCAACCACTGAGCCATGCTGGCTGGCCATGACTGATTGCTTTTGATAGTTCCATTTTTCCAGGAGTTTTGTTATTAAAAACATTGCAGTAAATATCCTTGTACATATGTTTGTGTGTCCTTTTGCAAATATTTCTTTAGGAGAGACATTCAGAAGTAGATATTCTGGGTAAAAAAAGTTAATTTAATATATTGGAGCCTGGCCTGGTATCTCTGTTGGTTAGAGCACCATCCTCATATGCAAGGTTGTGAGTTCTATCCTCGGTCATGGCACTCACAAGAAAAAACTAATGAATGCATAAATTGGTGGAACAACAAATCTGTTTATCTTTCTCTCTCCTCCTCCTTCCCTCCTTCCCCTTCTCTCCCTCCCCCCTTTCTCCTTTTCTCTCTCTCACAAATCAATCAGTTAAAATTTAAAAATAAATTTTAATATATTGGTAGATATTGCTATGTTGCTTTTTAAAAAATTGCATAGATTGACATTCTCACTTTATTTTTTTCCATGACATTGAGAGTACAGGCTATTATTAGTTTTTAAAAATGACAGAACTAGCTGACTTGGCTCAGTGGATACAGCATTGGCCTGCAAACTGAAGGGTCCTGGGTTCAATTCCCTCAGGTGCACATGCCCGGATTGCCGGTAGGGGGTGTGCAGGAGGCACCAATCAATGATGTTTCTATCTCTCCCTCTCCCTTTCTCTCTAAAATCAATTTAAAAAATGCTATATATACATATAAAGTCAAAATGACAGTAAAAAATAGCATCTCATAGTTTTGGCTTGCATTCTTTGACTTAACAAGGTTGGTGTATACATGGCCACAAAGCTGCTCTTGTCATTCCCCTTGGGCTGGCTACTCTATAGAAAAGAAAGGTGCCCTTCTGTTATTCAGTTCCCTGTCACTGGGCAGTTGTAAGGGCTGGACAATTGAGATACTGAGCACATCAGAAGTGTTTCTGTGATGCTCTATTCAGCAATTCTTTTGGTAGTTCTCATTGAATCCAGTGAACTTTTTGATGGAATGCATAGGCCAGGCCTTTTATCAATGCTAATGGCAGCCCTTACATATTTATTTATTTATTTACTTATTTATTACTGATTTGAGAGAAAAAGGACGAGAGAGAGAGAGAGAGAGAGAGAGAGAGAGAGAGAGAGAGAGAGAGAGAGAGAGAGAAACATGGATGGGAGTGAAATATGGATTGGCTGCCTCCTGCATGCCCCCTACTGGTTATCATGCCCGCAACCCCAGCATGTGCCCTGACCCTGGAATCTAACCAGCAACGTTTCAGTGCCTGGAGTACACCCAACCAACTGAGCCATACTGGTGTCCCTTACTGATTTTTAATATGTTTTCTTACTTAGTGATCTTGAATTAGAAGATAAAGATCTCATTCAGCAAAGTGTACTGATTTAGGAAAATTTTGACTATATATTTCTTTGGTGACTCAGTGTGCATGAGTAAAAATGACCTCTATGAAAGCGCCATATTGGTCATAGTGTTGCTGATGGAAATAGGGCCCTTTCACAGAGTCAGAACGAAAGCATTTCAGGGACCCATGTGTGGGAGAATGAGGAGTAGTGGTAAGGTTTACTGTAGGAGCAAAATCAAAGGACTGTTCCGGTTCAGCTTTGTTCTGTTGTGAAAGAAGTCCAGCCTTGTCCTAATCAGGCACAGAACAAAGGCCAAGATCTAGAAATTCTGTGCCATTGGTTCAGTCCAGGTCAGGACCTGTCCTTGTCTGGCTGGCTTAGTGTAGCTTCCCGGCTGCACTTCCCGTTGTTGAACCCAGACTTGTGCTTGGGGCCTGTGTTTGGAGTTTGGGTAGCTCCTGGCTGTGTGGCTGCCAGGGCCCATGGCTGATAGAACACTGTGAGAGCTGGGGTGGGCACGTGGAGCAAGTCAGAGAGAGAAATAGAGACACAAAGAGGGAGGGAGCAAGCGAGCCTCTGTTGGACTGGTCATATTATCTCTGGCGTGGAAAGGATCAGGTGGTACCCTTTCAAACTAACCAGCCAACTTCCCAATCTTTTACAGGCTTCTGATGGGTCTTCCCTATGATCCATGTCCTAGATCTTCCCAGGAGTTCTGTGTCCATCATCCAATCTGATCCTTTCCACCCCACCTGGCCAGATAGACAGGCGTTTTTTGTCACTTTCTTGGCTCCTATTGTGCACACCTCCTGTAGAAGCACCTCCCCCTTTATTGCTTATTCCTTCTTCCCATAGTCTGGGCAAAGGGACGGGTTGTATCCTGGGGTGATTGGAAATTTGGTTCTTCCTCCCCACACAGGGGAGGGATGGGTATTAACCCCTTTAGTGGGGGAATTCTGTAAGCCCCCGTGGTGCCTATGAATGCTGCAATTTCCTAGCAAAGCAGACTCCCTTCTGATTCAGCTCCCCCAGACCATCAGGCTCAACAATGTCTGATTCCCTTTCTCCCTCCCTTTATTAATATCTAGCTACCTATGATAACAAAAGTGAAGGGTTTGCTAGCTTTTTGAATTTCAATTATATTACATTTTAGGCTAGCTTGAGCTAATCACTGGATTTAATAAACACTATTCAGATGATTATAAGAGTCTGGGATCATTTGTGCATGTTGGAGATTTTTTTTTTCCAAATCTCTAAAATATTTTTGATCCCTTAATTTGGATGTTCTTTTCCAGCCCAGCATCCTTTTTCAGAAATCAACTTAAAGTATAATTTACATACAATAAAATGTACCAATTTAAAATATATACTTCATTGTGTTTTTTATAAACGTATACATCTGTATAAACAGCATTCCGTTTAAAACAGAACATTTCATCACCCCTAAAAGCTTCCTCAGATTTCCTCCCAGTCAACTCCTTCCCACCTGCCCAGGTAAACTAAATCTGTAACTATAGGTTGAACTTCATATGAATGCAATTATACATTTATATTCTTTTAAAAAATATATATATTTTATTGATTTTTTTACAGAGAGGAAGGAAGAGAGATAGAGTTAGAAACATTGACGAGAGAGAAACTGGGCATGTGCCTGCAGCCAAGGTACATGCCCTTGACCGGAGTAGAACCGTAAACTGACACTCTACCTACTGAACCAAATCAGTTTCAGCCCATTTATATTCTTTCTGTCTTGTTTTTCCCCCCTCAACATGCTGTTTTTGAGATTCACCAAGTTATATGTATGTCATTATTTTCCTTTTTATTTCTAAGTATTCTATTATGTTTACATATCATAGTTTGTTTACCCATTCATTTATTATTAAACATTTGGGGTTTTCTAGTTTGGGGCTTTTATAAATAAAAATGCTATAAACATTCATGTAAAGGTGGTTTGTGGGCATATATTTTCATTTCTCTTGGGTTAAGTAGGAGTGCAGTGCTGGGTTGTGTATGAAGTGTATATTTATCTTTATAAGAAACTGCCATTTTCCCAAAGTGTGCCATTTTTCTTCCCAGCTAGCAACATCTGGGAGTTCAAGTTACCTTGCATCTTTGTCAATACTTAGTATCTGTTGTCTTGCTTCCTATTTAGTCATCATAGTGATGTGTACTGGCACCTCATTGTAGTTTTAATTTCCTGAGTGAAGTCTTTTGATCAAGAAAGTTCTTGAAGCCCTAACTGGTTTGGCTCAATGGATAGAGCGTCGGCCTGCAGACTCAAGGGTCCCAGGTTTGATTCCGGTCAAGGGCATGTACCTTGGTTGCGGGCACACCCCCAGTGGGGGGTGTACAGGAGGCAGTTGATGGATGTTTCTCTCTCATCGATGTTTCTAACTCTATCTCTCTCTCTTCCTCTCTGTAAAAAAAATCAATAAAATATATATTTAAAAAAAAAGAATGTTCTTGAGGTTTTCAAAATTTTTTATACAGGCCTGTAGACATGGGTACACTAATGGAAAATCATCTTTTGTATTTTTAATTTTTTTCTTTAGGTTTCTTTAAAGTGAATGAAGACAGTAATTCAAAATGCCTGAAAATCCTGCTACAGGTATACTGGCTATAATAATTCTACCACTAAATTAATTAGTGATTCAAAATCAGAATATAAGATGGAATTTAACGTGTACTCTTATCCCTCTTCAAATAAGATAAACTGCAGGTCCTGCAAGTTCTTGATCGCCTGAAAGTGAAGTTGCAGGAGAAGGGCGACACATCGCAGAATGAGAAGCTATCCATGTTTTATGAGACACTGAAAAGTCCTCTCTTCAACCAGATACTCACACTTCAGCAGTCCATCAAACAACTCAAGGGACAAGTGAGTTACCTACCAGGGTTTTACATGTTTATATATCAATCCTGCAAAGGAAGATAGAAAGGCATAAAGATAGAGACAAACTGTCTCAAAGTACTCTTACTTCAGCGAAGAGACTGTGTTAGGACTTTCGACCTGTGGATATGGTAGGCATGGATAGTTTAAAAATGTTGATAATATATTATGTTCTAATCTTCAGAATATGGGCTTTATCCTTTTTTTTTTTTTTAAATAAGTAAAGGTCAGATGCTTTGAGAATTCTCAATAGTTTCTTCAAATTTATAAAGTAATATTGAGCTTAAATATGTTTTCTTCATGAGTCTTTTCTTTCTTTCTTTTTTTTTTTAAGCAAGAAGTGATCATGCCCTGGTAGCACATTATTTATAATTACCAAATAAATAATTAAATGTTATGGACAGTCTGATTAGAAAGTCCTTGGAAGCAGTATACCCAGTATTTTAACATTTATGTGTTCCCTCCACTACATACAGCATAGAAGCTAAGCTTGAATAGTAGCTATCCTAAAGATTAAATTTGGGGATAATTTTAAATGTAATTGGTGATAATGGAGCAGTTAAGTAAAAATTAATAAAATTTAAGGAAAAAATATCTTCTTTGCTGATAAACCAAAATGCTTGCCCATAAATATTTTTAGCAAGTGATTTTTAAAAATAACTAATTAAGGATTAAGCAATGCTTACATGCCTTTCTTTGAATTTCTTTCTCTAAGTCAGAATTCATAAGTAATTTTAGCACTCCCCATATTGAAAGTTAGCTTTCTGTATTCCCTGGTCCTGGGATGAGCCCCAAATCACAACAGTGATAATTATTTGTAGCAATAGAAATCGGAAAAGGTCACTACAAATATATCACTCTGACTGGACTAAAAGTGTACTTTACCTACTCCATCATAATCTTTTATATTCATATAGTTTGCTGGTTTTATCTACATACTCATATTTTATCCATTCAACTCTAAGCCCCTTAATTTCTTTTCCTATGAGTGTTCTCATAGAGTTTCTCCAGGTGTTGCTTTTTTTCTAAGAGGTACTATTTACATTTGTTCTTAATGTTACCTTTATTGTACCATGTTGGCACTCATATAAGCCAATGATATTTTAAAATCAACCCATTTTCCTGTTCCCCATAATTACAGGAATCTCATTTTATTTTATTTTTTGTACCAATGTTTGAGTGGCTCTGTAATTCATTTGCTTCTAATTTTGGATGAGTTACCCCCTTCTCCCCCTGTGTGCCTCAGTTTTGTGTGTGTGTATGTGTATGTGTGTGTGTGTGTGTGTGTGTGTGTGTGTGTGTGTGTGTTTGGTGTTTGTTTTTTTTTGTGTGTGTGTGTGTGTGCCTCACTTTTTAAAAATTTTTTTATTAACTTATTATCTGTGTACATATCTTACCATTGCCCCCCCTCCCATACATACCTTCCCGCCCCTGAGTTTTGTGTCCATTGGTTGTACTTATATGCATGTATACAAGTCCTTCGGTTGATCTATTATCTCCCCTAGATCTCCCTCCCCTCCCCGCTGTAGTTTGACAGTGTACTTGTTGCTTTACTGTCTCTATATCTATCTTTTTGTGCCTCACTTTTTAAGTTCACAAAATGAAAAAATAATAGGGCAGTTGTTATATGTAAAAGTTGTGGTATAGCATTTTGCTCACAGCAAGTGTTGAACAAATACTGTTATTGTTATTCTTGTTATATACTACCCACAGATGTTTTGTGGCCTCCCCCATGGAAATATACAGATAAATTCAAAAGGGCTCAGTGTCTTCTATGCCTGTTTACTAGTATTATATCTGTGTCTGTGACATGTAATGAACTGTTGTACGTGCTATTAACTTGAGGAAAGGATGGAAAGCAGGAAACAAGAACACATTTTCAGCTGTTAAACATTTGTGTAATACTAAATAAAATTTATAGCCTTATAAGTATACAAATTCATGTAACTATTACTTAATTTCTTTCACATGTATATACTTAACATGAAAATTACACGTGATGGGTAAAATATAACATTTAATGAATAGAAATAATTTGTTTCTTATAAGTTTCTGTTGATTGTCTTTTGTTTTTCCCTCCAACAGCTGAGTCATCTACCTTCAGATTGTTCAGCCAACTTTGACTTTTCAAGGAAAGGTTTATTAGTGTTCACAGATGGTGCCATTACTAATGGGAATGTCCAGCGGTCCGCTAATAACTTTACTGTGTCGGGGTTATTTCCTTGGACCCCTAAGTTGGGAAATGAAGACTTTAACTCAATCATTCAACAGATGGCACAGGTAAAGTTATGTCTTGTCATGGGAATATTATGCTTATTTCTCCTGTATAGGTTAAAAAAGTGATACTCTTTTTGCCTTAAAATGTGTTGTGTGTTCTGTTTGACTGTGTTTTTATATTGTTAGGAGGAACTGATATTTCTTAATCTCTGTGTTAAAAATTTATTGGGTTCAAATTATATAAGAAAATATCCATGTGTGGTGAGGAGAGATTTTCTTTAGAGAATGACTCTAATTTGACACATCTCTACACTTGTAAGGAAAGAAATTTTTATAGTTTTGATCATAGGAGGAAAATTAATATGTTTACAGGTGACACACCTCCAATGAAACTATTTTTAATTTTATATCAAACAGATTTAATGGGAGTTAGAACTACCACAATTAGGAAAGTCTATGGAAACATTTTAAGGAGAAATCTAGTTTTATCCCTAATACCTATTAAAAATTAAATAATAATTGAATTTTAGGATATGTTTTAAATTTTTCACTTCATCTTCTAATGTGTCTTAAAAATGAAATGAGTTTAAAAATTAAAAAGAATCTGTATAAGGTGTGATAATTAAATAATATTCTACATCTAATTTATTTTATTTTATTTTATAGTTCTGTTCCCTTAAATTTGACCAATAATTATTTTTGTGATGCTTTTGTAAATTGATGACATTTATGAAGTTCAAATGCAGTTATTCAGAAAAAAGCAATAAAATACTTGATTGTCACAGGTAGAACACATTTGAATGGTGGCCTTCCCATACTTTTTAATTAACCTTTTACAATACTAGTAGGATGTTCATCACAATAGAATTAAAAACACTAAATAATGCATCTGCTTCTGACCTAGGCTAACCATCAGCATTTTTTTGATATATCAATAATTTGCTTTTTTCATTTAAAAATTTGTTTTGCATCAAAAGAATTTAGATAAATTCTGTATAAAAAACAATTTCAATTTTCTGTGGGAAAGGACATGGGTATTTTTATCCAGCTGGGGATTCATCTCATACTGTGAATGAAGTGTGAAAACACCTCTTCTATCCCCAAGGTTGCAGAATGCTGCACATTCCCTCTTACATTCTACTGAAAATAATAATGTGAGAGGGTTTCCAGAAATAATTTATTACTGAAATTCTGAGTTTGTTTGGTTTTATAGAGATGACCTAGGAGAAGCTGTTTTTGTGTTATTCGCAGAATGGCAATTTCACTTCTTTGTTAAATGTACTTCATTATAACTTTTTCAAAAAATTCTTCTTGTTTAGGGCCGGCAAATTGAATATATTGATATAGAGCGTCCTTCAACTGGAGGCCTTGGATTCAGCGTAGTGGCCCTTAGAAGTCAAAATCTGGCAGAAGTTGATATCTTCGTGAAGGAAATACAGCCAGGAAGCATAGCGGACAGGTGAGAAAGATGTTCATTTTGTGTTTTGCTAATTTGTTTTCCGATAAGTCTGAGAATACTGTTATAAAGAGAATAAGAAAGTACTAATAAAAATAGTAACAATGGCAGCTAACACTTAACTTTCCCTCTTCCTATGCATTTGTCAGGTCTTTGCAGATATTCTCATATACACCTGTGGCAGCCCTCTAGCCATTGGTATGTTGCTCCATTTTATAGATGAGAAAGCTGAGTTTCAGAGAGGCTCAGTGATTTACCAATGGTCACAGAGCTATTAATGCTGGAGCCATGATGTGATTCTAAGATCCTCTGACTGGAAAGCTAGTATTCTTTCTATCTCACCACACTCTCTCACAATTGAACATGATAGTTTTAGCTAAGGTCTTATCAATAAGATGGGATTATTGAAATTCACATTCTGCAGACTGTGTTGTTTATTAAACATAAGATTATAGCAACATTTTGTTGGTTATATCATGCTATTATTTCACTTTCTTCGATTAAAAGCCTCCTCAAGGCTATGTGATATCCCTCTATTGCACTTATGCCTTTGTTTTATTTTTTAAGGGGTATGTGCAGGCCTTATATTTTGTCTTTATTTGATTTCAGGTTTTTAGTTTATTATTTATTTAAAAAGCATGCTATTCATTATGCTATTTCCACCTGTTAGAATTATAGCAACAGTAGTACCACTATTATAAAAAGATTCTCAGTTAATAATAATTCTCATTCATGAGAGATCAATTCTAGTCTCTTAGGAAAAAATATATTTTCATGATTTTGTATCTTTGTTCTGTCATCTAAGGCAGCATTTCCTCAAGTGTAATCTGAGGAAGCATAGCAGTGGTCAGATATCTTTGAGAAATTCTATTCTGTTCTTGAATGTTGCATGTATATAGCTAGAATAATCATATAACTTGTTGTCCAAGTTGGGACAGTTTTGGGAGTGAGAGGTTGTGTTATTAATAATGACACTGACAAGCAGGTATATATTAGGATTATGGGTTACTTAGCAATAATTGCAATAATTTTTTACACTCAAGGTCATGGAAATCTATTATTTAAGGCTAAGTTCCTTGACAGAAAACTTATTTAACTTTGATTGGCCCAACTTAAAAACATTATTTTAACTTAAAAAATTATTATTAGACAAACTGATGGTTGCCATATGGGAGGTGGATTGGGGACTGGGTGAAAAAGATGAAGGGATTAAGGAGTACAAATTGGCACTTGCAAAAATAGTCATGAGGATATAAAGTACAGCATAGGGATTATAGTCACTAATATTATAATTACTATGTATGGTGCCAGGTGGTTACTAGACTTATCGGGGGGATTACTTCATAAGTTACATAAATGTCTGACCACTATGCTATACACCTGAAAGTAATATAATATTGAATATCAACTATAATTGAAAAAATTTTAAATTAAAAAATACTATTGGGATATAATTCACATAACATAAATGTTAACATTTCAAGGATATGCTTATAAGAGAGAGAAAGAGAGAGAGAGAGAGAGAGAGAGAGAGAGAGAGAGAGAGAGAGAGAGAGAGAGAGAGAGGAAGAGAGAAACATCTGTGAGAAAGAACATCACTTGGTTGCCTGACTGGGAATGAACCCACAACCTTTCAGTATACAGGACAATGCTCCAATCAACTGAGCTTCACCAGCCAGGGAAAATGTGACCATTTTAAAGTGTGCAGTTTAGTAGTTTTTAGTGTGTTTTTAATAGTCAATCCTTTTTGTAGTCAATCCTTAATGTCTCAGTTACTCTGTACTAATTAGGTCTGTAATTACTAATGAAGTGAGCAGGTCCAAAAAGAGGAGTTTGATACTTGAGCGTGTAAAGAACCCTGACCAAGGAGTCAGGTGGCTTCCCAGAGGCCTGGTGCTGAAAGGGAGATTGGAGAGGAAACAGTGGGGTCTTCAGAGAGCAGATGAGGAATGAAGAGAATCTCTTGACAAGGAGCCCTATCCAGTGATCACACATATCCCTCATCTTTAGAATGTGGCTGGAACTAGTGTGGGAACTTAGTGCAAGATGGGTGAGAGGAGGGGCCGGAAAACGGGCCTGCCATGCAGGACCTTCCATGTCATATTAAATGGTCTTGATGACCAGTTTTTCTTTCTTTCCAGGACTTTCCACACAGAACTGTGTTATTTAAAGAGCTTACTTATTCTTTTTTTTTTTTTTACACTCAAGGTCATGGAAATCTCTTATTTCTGCTGGGATGCTTTTTTTTGCATCTATATGACCATGTGATTTTTATCTTTCAATTTGTTTATGTGATGTATTATGTTTATTGAATTTCGGATTTCTGAACGTTGTGAGGGAAAGACAAGAATTAGGCTTCCCTTGAATGGAAAGTGTAAATATATACTGAGTGGCCAGATTATTATGATCTCTGAACGCATAATAATCTGGCCACTCAGTGTGTGTGTGTGTGTGTGTGTGTGTGTGTGTGTGTGTGTGTGTGTGTGTGTGTGTGTTTTAGCGGCTCGGTGCATGAATTCATGCATGGTGGGGTCTGGCCAGCCTGGCCAGGGGGAGGGAACATAGGCGATTGGCCAGCCTGCCTGCTGGTCGAACTCCTAAATGAGGGGACAATTTGCATACTAACCTTTTATTATAAAGGATATATACTGAGTGGCTAGATTATTATGCATTCAGAGATCGTAATAATCTGGCCACTTAGTGTATGTAGTATGGGGAGTTAAATTATAAATAATAGTAACTGGGGATGTAAAGTACAGCATAGGGAATATAGTCAATAATATTGTAATAACTATGTATGGTGCTAGGTTGATACTAGACTTATCAGAGGGATCTCTTTATAAGTCATATAAATAAGTGTGTAAACATTATGATGTACACCTGAACTTAATATAATATTGAGTGTCAACTATAATTGAAAAATTAATAATAAAAACTTTGAAAGAAATAAAAAGTAGCTGTAAAACTAACTAATTCAACTTTCAAATGCATCAGAATCATATTTTCTAGAAACCAGAAAATCTGAATGTGAGTAAATTAAGGACTAATTTATGCCAAATTTGTTACATCCGGGTTGAAAAGATTCAAGAGTAGCTCATTCACTTGGGATTAATTAAGAAATTTCTCCTTTGGAGTTGGGGAAATGGAAGTGATTCTTGGATATTGTCCTGTAGTGATCGCATTTAAAAAGAAATATTTCTTTAGGACTAGGGAAAAGTTCACAAGTGACATTGCTCCTTCACAAAATTTTGCTGAATCTTGTGTGACCTGAGAAAAATAAGGGCAATGTAATGGATTTTCAGAATTCAAATTTATGAATTAGAATTCCCTGTTTTGAGGTAAATTCTTTCTCTGGGAGATTTTTATATTTTGAAGGTTAAAAATGTATTTTTTAAATGAAATAATCATGAACAAGAATTTGTTTTTTTTCCCTTTGGCTGTCTTTTTAATAGTCAATAAATAGACAATTAGCAAGTATTTTTGAGTTGGCATATTACCAGCGCAGGAGAGCCTATAAGAATAAACCTTGAGGAACTTTGCAAGTTAGGTTTCAGGTATTACATAAGGATATCAATGGGAGGACTGGCATTGGGAATGAAAGAAGGAGATGGGTAGATGTGAGAGAGGACACATCTCCAGGACAAGGAAGCATTGCAGTGATAATGGGGAAGCAAGAAGAGGCAGAGTGGTAGTTGAGAGATAGTCAAGTCAAATACAGTAAACCAGGACAGAGTAAATCTGAAGTAGTCTAAGGATGCATTGCATTTAAGAAATTAAAGAAAATGCTTCAATCAGGCTAAATTTTTAAATAAGATGCTAGGCTTCAATTTCTGACCTATAAGTAATTTCTGGATCATAATAGTGCTCAGTAAATATTGATTAGTAATGTTTTGTTTTGTTTTTCCTTCAAAAAAGATTTTGCTCTTATTAAATAGTCCCTTTTACCTTGGTTGGGAGATGGGTGCTTAGGAGAGAAGGGCCGAAACCGGTTTGGCTCAGTGGATAGAGTGTCAGTCTGCGGACTGAAAGGTCCTGGGTTCGATTCCAGTCAAGGGCATGTACCTTGGTTGCGGGCACATCCCCAATAGGGGGTGTGCAAGAGGCAGCTGATCGATGATTCTTCTCTCATCGATATTTCTAACTCTCTATCCCTCTCTCTTCCTCTCTGTAAAAAATCAATAAAATATATATTAAAAAAAAAAAAAAGAAGAAGAAGAAGAAGGAGAAAAGGGCTCAGAAACAGATTTGGAAGTAATGTCTGAGGATTCTCAAGGAGGGTTTGGCCTTTATTGACATGCTGGTGAGATAAGCACAATGGGCTACTTCATTGTACTGCTAGAGAAGAGGTTATTGATGAATTTGAGAATGTAGTTTCCCTAGGATGGTATATGTTGAAGGCAGATTGGACAGGGTTCAGGAGTACAGGGTTCATGCATTTAAGGGGGTGCACTGTCTATACTTACAAAACCTTGGCAATGAAGCCTTGTATATTGTTTTTGCTTATTTTTCTAGCCAGATAGCTTTTAAAATGTATGTGTGTCGAGATGTATTACTAAGGTGGTTAATGAGCTAACAAATGCTTTGATGAAAAGCACTCTATGAAGTTCCATCATATAATGAAATAATTTGAATATATGTACTAAGTGAAGTAGTACCATTACAAAAAAACTGTTTAGCTTGAATAATAGGCTTTTAAAAGTCAGGATCTTATACCACTTAAAACAAAATTTTCTTTTATTTCACCAAGGGATCAAAGGTTAAAGGAAAATGATCAAATATTGGCTATTAACCATACGCCACTGGATCAGAACGTTTCCCATCAGCAAGCAATTGCATTGTTACAACAAACCACTGGATGTTTGAGTCTGGTTGTGGCCAGGCAGCCAGTCCACCCAAAAAGCAGCACTGACACAATTCTGCCAGAAACAGTGAGTTGCAAATTTGGAAAAATACTTTTGAATTATGCTATTGCTTTTCACACCTGTGGAAGGTGTCATGTGACTTGTCATAGTTTAAGAAAGGTGGTCATATTTCCAAATACAGCATTAGCAGAGTAAATAAGATGTTTTATGGAGGCTTTTTGTTTTATTTTTTTTAAGTGTCCTGTGATTCTCCTTATTTAAGATTATTTTTTTAAATATAGAGAGCAAATTTAATAATAGGTATAATTTATTTGGTAATGGAGTCTTGTGTTCCTCGGTGTTATAGCTAGTTAATTAATTAAGCTGAGAGTTTTTATTAGAGATTTATTATTGAATCTCTTAAGATTTGGTTATTTATTTCACAGACATTTCTGCAAATTATATTGGGTGTTTATAATTAGATTATTGATACTGTACAATTGTAGACTTTTTATGTAAGGATGAAAACGGTTCAAAAGAATAAAATTATATGTCTCGTTTGGGAATCTTTAAACTTGCTTTATAGCATTTTACAGATTTTGGCCTGCATCTTCAGAATGCAAGCTAATAAATCTTATTTTCTTATAACACTAAGTGCTAGCTGATTTATTTACTTTTCATTCATTGGACAAAAGAAAAAATAGACTGTCTGGGTATAGTACAAGGTCACCACACAAATTAACGTGTAGGCATTTTCCTTATTGTAATCAGTAATATTTATACAGCACAATTTACATAATAAGCAAAATGAAGCAAGTGGGAAATTGCTTAGCATAGTGGTTAAGAATAGGGGCTCTGGGTCAGGTTAAAGTGGGTTCAAGTCCAGTTCTTCATTTCCTGGCTGTGTCATACTGGGCACATTTCTTGACCTCTCTATATCTCAGTTCCTTCATCTGTGACTTGGAACTAATAACAGCATTTGCTTCATAGTGGTATTGGAAAGATTAAATGAGATTGCGAGTGAAGAGCTAAGTATAGTACCTAGTATATACTTTATGAGTACCAGCTGCTATTAATTAAAGCATATTTTGTGCATATTATAGAAACTTTTGTTGCAACCCAGATACAAGATATTGTTTCAGATGTGAAATTATTAAATATTCCCAATAGTTCTGGTCATTTTCACATTGCATAGTAACTTTCCATTTACCTATAATAAAAAAAAAAAAACACACTAAGTGATAAGTATGCCCTATGGATCTTGAGAAGGAGAATTTTCTTCTGTAGTTGGATTATGGGAGCTTGATATACATTTCTGATGAAAGCCTGCTAATTAGAGGGAAAATGTCATGTGTCATAGTCTGATTTGTATAATCCTAATGCTAATATCTTCAGTTGGGCCTATCTTTCCTCTTCCTCATAGGAGTTTACTAAATTAGTCTTATTGTCTTGTGTCCTTCTCATCATTTCCTACTTCACCTTGCTGCCAGATTAATCTTCCTAAACCACTGCTCTGTTCCTTTCATTCCCTCTTCTAAAAACTTCAATTATTCCCACTCGCTTATTCAAGCTCAGCTTTGCTCTTACTTTTTTTTTTTTTTTTTTTTTTTTTTTGCTTAAATGTCTTTTTTTCTCAGCAGTGGAATTAAAATGCCACATTTTCCTTGAAGTTTTCCATAATTCTTGATTAGATTAGATTAGATTAGTCTGTACCACTTCCCCTTCTCCTCCCCGCTATTTCTCCTCCCCCCCCCCCCCCCCCCCCCCCCCCCGGCCTTATAATACTTTGTGATTCCCTTTTAATTCAGATAAATATATATGTTCCTATAGGTGCTGGACACTGCTAGATCCTTGGGCATAAAATAAGGAATTAGATGTTTTGGTTCTGTTAGAGCTACAGTGTCTATGACCCAATATTCTGTCCTGTATTTTAATTATTTATGTTTTAGTTTGTCTCTCTACTGGATTATAAAAATCCTGAAGTGCAGGGATCATATGATGATCTTAATACCTCTTAGCCTTTAGAAAAATTGTCTTGATTAATTGTATCGATATGAATGTTTAATTTGTTGTATATCTGTTACATTAGTAATTACTATACTGGGAAGCCAAGAAACTGTATGTTTTACTAACACTTTGGCTCTTGCCGTTAATTTGTAGGTTCGTTGGGGTCATATTGAAGATGTTGAACTCATTAATGATGGCTCTGGATTAGGTTTTGGAATAGTTGGAGGGAAATCAAGTGGTGTGGTTGTGAGGACTATAGTTCCTGGAGGGTTAGCGGACCGAGTAAGTTGATCTTTTTCGTTTTTGTTTTGCTTTTACATAATTTAAATTGTATGGTTTGAAATATAACTTTATAACATGTGTTACAATCAGAAGGTACAGTGATTATAAATAGTTGTCTCAATTTATGTGACAACTATTTATAATTTTTAATTCAAGTAAAATATTAAATATTACTGGAATTAAAAAATTTTGGCATTGTCAAGCAAATGACTACACTTTATTATTTAGTCCTGTTTGAATTGAAAGTAGGCCTTTAAAAAACTTACCAACTGTTTCTGCTTAGTTTTACATTGAAGAAAATATTTAATATATATTTAAAAACCTTTAGTTTTTGGAAATGAACTTAGAAATTTGGTTATGACTCCACTTAGTAATGAGCCTATATTATATAGAATGCTCATCATAATCACAATAATATGTAAATTTCACTGATTAAATTGCAGTTATATACACATTTATTCCTTCTAATAAACATATACAAAAATAAACTTGATATGTAAACGCAGTTTTGAGGCAAATTTAGCCGTTCCTCATTTCTAAGCTAGCTTGTTCCATGTTGTACTAATTGTGGAGCTACTAATCTTTCTATTATGCTTCTAGAATCTACCTGCATTTATTTAGAGCAGAGACCTGTCGGGGTCACTGACTGTCTTACAGAGGGTCAACATGATCAAAGCAAATTTTTTTGTTAATCCTCAGTAGAGGATATTTTTTTCATTGAATTTTAGAGAAAGTATAAGGGCGAGGAATTGAAAAGGAGAGAGAGAGAGAAAAAAAAAATCAATGTGACAGACACATTGATTGGTTGCCTCCACATGTGCCCTGATGGGAATTGAACCCATGACCCTTCGGTGTGCAGGCTGATGCTCTTAACCACTGAACAACATCAGCTATTAATATTAAATGTTATTAGTTCTGTCACCACGTTGAAATTTGCACTGATGATATTAAAAGCAGTGGCAAACTGAAACTGTTGGTTCCGTAGTGTGCAACAGGCAGGGACATCAAATTATTAGCAGTTGTTGTATTCTCCTCTATCATGTGCTTGCAGCAAAAAAAGAAAAAAAAAATGCCAGTTTTACTTAAGAAAGTGCAATCACAATTATTAATTTTGTACATTTTGACCTTTAAGTGTACATGTTTTTTGAGAGAGAGATAAGTGTACATGTTTTTAATATTGTGTGACAAAATGGGACGTACCCTATAGCACTTCTGCCATAAACTGAAGTATGATGGTTACTTTGGCTTAAAAACGTTTGGAAGATATAGTATTCACTTTTTAAATACTAAACAGCCTTTTAATCTTTAAATTTTGTTTTATTTAAAAATTTTTGCCCTTATTACAAAATTTGTGATGTAATTAATATTCAACATTATATAGTTTCAGGTGTACAATGTAATAATTTAATATTTACATATATTATAAAATGATCACCACAGTAAGTTATCCATTACCATATATAGTTTTTTTTTCTTTATGATGAGAACTTTTAGGGTCTATTCTCTTAGCAACTTTGGAATATATAGTATACTATTATTCATTATAATCACTATGCTATTATCATCACTATTATATTTCTATGACATTTATTTTGTAGCTGGAAATTTGACCCTTTTGATCTCCTTCACCCATTTTGTCTGCCCCGCCTTTGGGAACCACCCTGGAACAATATTTTCATTTTTTATGAAATGAAATGAAATGAAAAAATATCTGACAGAAAAATTATGATCATTCAGACTTGAGTATTTGACAGATATCTTCTTGAAAATGAAGTGAGCCCGTTATTTCAAGGAAAACAACTGAGAGCATTTATTAATGATGAGATAATTTGAACTTTCAAACAAGAGTTAGAATTTTGGAAAATTTGTTCTTTACTATGAGCTCGAATGTTTTCAATATTTAAAGAGTTCTTATTAAATTGTTGGTGATATTAATATTTTTAACATTTTATAATTAAATATATCAATATTTGGAAGGTCTTCATAGCTCTGTGAATCAGTATTTTCTGAAGACCAATGTGTGATATAACAAAATAATATGTAGGTATAAGATCCATTCAAGATTGATCAGTTGATTTTAATTAAACTGTAACTGATAGTTTTTTTTAGATGTATTTTCTGATTCTACATTGCAAATATTCTTTTCTTTTTTTTTCTTCTTTTTTTTGCATTTTTTCTCTTTATTGATTAAGGTATCACATATTTGTCCTCAACCCCCTATTTTAATCCCCCACCCTTCCCCACTTCCCTATTGTCCTTGACCATTGGTTAGGCTCATATGTGTGCACTCAAGTCCTTTGGTTGATCTCTCCCTTTTATTCCCATCCTCCCTCTGAGGTCCAACAGTCTGACCCATGGCTCCTTATCTCTGGGTTTGTTCTTGTTCATCAGTCTATGTTGTTCACCATTTCCCCTAGAGGAGTGAGATCATGTCCTACTGGGAATATACTTATAAGAATAGAAAATGAGACAAGCAATAATGGTTATGCTGAAAGGCAAATGAATCAGAGAGGAAGACGCTGATGACACCTTGCCATAATAGCAGTCAGCAGCTGTGTATCACTGCAGGTTGCCCAGGACCAAACCAGAGAGGGTTGGACCTGCATTACCACCATTTGTCCACCATCCAGAACTGAAATATCATTGCTGACATATACACATAAGCAACTGTTTGACATTGAAATTGGGTCTCAAAAGAACTGTTGACCCAGAAAGAAACTCACTACAGATTGATTCATTTGCCTTTCTGAAAGTATTCTTTAAGAATCCACCACTTGTGGAGTTCTGCTGTATTATCAAAGAAGAATGGGTTGAAAAGGCTTAAAGTACTTCTCCATTTTCAAACTATGTATCTAATTGAAGCCAGATTTTTTTATATACCTCAATCGGTATGAAAATTCAGCTGTCTTCTTTTAAGCCAGACATTGAAGAGATTTGCAAAAATAATTTAAAACACCACTCTTCTTACTAGTTTTACATAACTTTTTAAAGAATAAAAAACACATACATCAATATCATATGTATTAATGTGTTAAATATGTAAATTCAAAGCACGATTTTCTAATTCAGTAGATATTAACAGTTATCAAGAGAGAGATATCAAAAAGCTCTTTGAGTTTCTGAGTAATATTTGCGGTATAATTGATAGATAATAAATTGCACATATATAAAGTATACATTTTATTAAATTTTGACATATGTGTACTGGAAAGTCTAAAATCTGTAAGTCAGGCTAGGAGGCTGGAAACTTGGCAAAATTTGAGATTCAGTCTGAACTTTGACATTTGTAGGGAGGTTAGCAGGTTTTCTGTTACAGTCTTTCAGCAGAATTTCTTCTCCAGGAAACCTCAGTTTGCTTTTGTTTGTGTGTGTGTTTGTTTGAATATATTTTTATTGATCTCAGAGAGGAAGGGAGAGGGAGTGATAGAAACATAAATGATGAGAAAGACTCGTTGATAGGCTACCTCCTGCACGCCCCACACTGGGGATGAGCCTGCAACCCGGGCATGTGCCTTGACCAGGAATGGAACCCGAGACCCTTCGGTCCATGAGCCGACATTCTAACCACTTAGCAATCTGGCCAGAGCATCTTAATAGTTTTTAAGAGTACAAAGGGGTTCTGAGACCAAAAGGGCTGAGAATGGTCATTTTGTGAGTCTTTAAAACACATCTGTGACACAAAACAAACAGTAATCGTTGAGGATTTTTTGTAAGGAATGAGAAATTGTGGAGTATTTTAGAATCTTTTCTCATATCCTTCCCTTCCTCCTTGCCATTTTAATCGGCCTGGTTGCTGGAGTAACATTTTTCAGGATGCAAAGTGGAATGGTTGTTGTGGAAAACAAAGGGTCTATTAAATTTAGAAAACACCAAGCTAAATAAAATCAGATAGGTTCCTTATTGTAAGAATTGTCTGAGCTTTTAATATCCTAATGTATGTTATGAATTTTCACAAGGAGAATATGATGTGCAGAGTTTCCCAAATGAATCCCTTTGAGACACTATTAGGCAAAGCCCAGGTCTGGTCTTTCACCCTTACTGGAAGGGCTTGTCACTCTTTTAGGTCATCAAGGAGGGGGTAGTGGTGTGCCTGTCAGAGTCCTAATGGAAAAGCAAGTGTTTATACCAGACACTGTTTTTAAGAATTATTTTCATATAATTTTTTTTTGCTTTTTATCTTTTAAATTTTTTTATTGATTAAGGTATTACATATGTGTCATTATCCCCCCATTTCCCCCTACACACAAATGCCCTCTCCCCTCCCCCCCCCCCCTGCCCCCTGTTGTCTGTTAGGCTTATATGCATGCATATAAGTTCTTTGGTTGATCTGTCCCTCTTACCCCTTCTTTCCCCTACCTGCCCTCTGAGTTTGACGATCTGATTGATGTTTCTCTGTCTCTCGATCTGTTTTTGTTCATCAGTTTATGTTGTTCATTATATTCCAAAAATAACACAGTCATAAATCTTACTCCCAAATCATAGATATGGAAACATAAGAAATTGCCCAAGGCTACCTAATTGGAAAATGACAAGGTCAAGATTGAGCCTGCAACTGTTTAACTCTGAAACCTGTGCTTTACTTCTTAAATCTATTTATTCAAAGTTTGCCTTAATGTTATTCTTCCTGATGTGCACCTATCTAGGTTGGTCATACCTACCTATCATCAGGGAATATAGCCAACTGTAGGCGCAACAGACTCTTGACTCTTTCCTGTAGGGATTATGGTGAGACCCAACAGCAGTATTCACATCTCTCTTCCATTCACCTCAGCTAATAGCAGGTAGAATCTCTTCAGCCGACTCTGCATTGTGGTTAAGTCTTTATTGTTTTTAATTAAAACGTACTGAATATGCAACTTTCATGGTAAGGGAATATGGGTATGTTAGGTCATTAGTTCAGATGTGATCAAGATTGACCTTAAAGACATACCTACATTCTGCTGAAAGGGTTAATAACTACTACTTTCTTCAAAGAATATAAAATTGAATGACAGAAAGTTAGAAAAACAAGTCAGTATTTTTTATTTCAAAGGGTTTCATAAAACAGACCCTTATGTTTCCTTTGTGTACATATAAGTCAATATGTGTAGTTAAAAAATGATACAGAGTTGAGGGGATGCAGCAAAGAACACTTAACTGAGATTACTGTAGCCTGAAGAGGCATCAGAATTGGATGCATTTGAGGACTTCATTGCTGTAAGCAAGGTACTAGCCTAAATATTTTATATATTGTATTGGATAAAATGCTCACAACTCAATGAAAAAGGAATTTATTCCCATTTTGTTTAAAAAGGAGCTGAGATTTAGAATTGACCTCTGGCCACACGACTTGATGAAAGTAGAGCCAGGATTGGGTGTTTCTGACGCCAATGCCCTACATGACCTTCTGTCTATTGCCTTGAATATTATAAAGTAAATGAAATTGAAAAGTATTGATTCATAAGAGTTTTTTTTAGAAGCATTTATTGGAATCTATCTACAATAACCCATCAGTAAATGTAATCAGGGCTGATTCTATAGAAAGGAAAGTACGTAGTATCATGTAAGAGGAGCTAAAACAAATAACAACTTCTTGTAATCTTCAGACACTCTCAAAAATCCACAGTACCCGAAGTACACATCGTTTGAGAATTCTGTTCAGTTTTGGCAAAAATTTAAAATTTTTTCAGCAGCTGAAGTTTTTCTAAAACAATATTTCTAACAAGCAGTGTAAAACAATTTGTTTTATAGAAGTCGCTTTCATGTGGTCTGTAGTAATTCTAGGCAAATCAGGGACACTGAGTTACCCCGTTGTCTCACAAGAGGACTCTTACAACTCAGCCCCTTTAAAAGTTGTCATGAATTATTGACTCTTTGGCATGAGGCAATTATGAGTCATCATAACTATCTAGTAAAGTTTAATACTAGGAAAGTAATGTTACCATGCAAGGTCTTAGAGGCTGGGTGTGGCCCATGAGGAATTTCAGTCTAGAATGAGCAAAGGCCAACTTGAGGCCACTCAACAGCTGGTTTTTCCCAAGCAATTTTGTTTAAGTGAGTCCTATAAACAGATATTTCTTTATCTTTAAAAATCAGTGGATGAGAGCTCTGGGAATTTGACTAGGGTAGGAAAGATATACTTAGATTTAGTACTTTTCTTTAATTCCTTAAGGGAAAGAGTGTTTATTTTATTTTATAAGTCACTGGTTTCTGTCAATGACACATTGCCTTTTTATTAAAGACCAATGATAAAAGGAGCCTTGACTCAAAAGCAGTAATGATTTTATTTTTTGAGTTGTGGAATTATTTGATGTTATTTTTTAGTTTTTGAAGAAACAGATTTGATTTCTTTTAAAAAATATATATTTTATTGATTTTACAGAGAGGAAGGGAGAGGGATAGAGAGTTAGAAACATCAATGAGAGAGTAACATCGATCAGCTGCCTCCTGCACACCTCCTACTGGAAATGTGCTCGCAACTAAGGCACATGCCCTTGACCAGAATCGAACCTGGGACCTTTCAGTCCATAGGCTGACGCTCTATCCACTAAGCCAAACTAGTTAGGGCAGATTTGATTTTTTTATTTCTTTTATAGGGCAGGCCTGAATTCCTTTAGTGTTCAAATATTTTTATTTATTTTTTTATTTTAGAGAGAGAGGAAGTTGGGTTGGGGGAGAGAAACATTGATTGGTTACCTCCCTTACACTTCCCAACCAGGGATTGAACCCCAAACTTAGATATGAGCTCTGCCTAGGAATAGAACCTAAAACCTTTTGTTGAATGGGATGATGCTCCAACTAACTGAGCCACCCAGCCAGAGCATAGGTTCTCAAATATTTTTGAATTGAAATTATTATTAACAATAGCTGAACTTAAAATGCCAAGTATTATATATATATATATATATATATATATATATATATATATATATATATAAAATACTTGGCATTTTAAGTATTTTATATATATATATATATATGTAAATGTGTCTACACACATACACACATATATATTTTTGGCCAACAACTGCTAAATTGGATTAAAATATATTTTTAAAACTGTAAGTGATATGTTAGTGCTTTCACTATAATAATGTGGTACCCAGTTATGCCAGCTCTTTTAATTTTTCTGCCTTCCATACTATCTTTGCCTAGATGCATAATATTTTTTCTCTTTCAAAAAAAAATCTATGGGTTAATAAATATTTTGTTGTTCGATTAGCATACACTTTGAATCTTGGCATAGCAATTTATTGGTTATCATTGATTTAGGACTTCTGTTAAAATAACAAAAAGGGCTCTAATGCCTTTTAGTTTTCTTACACATAGGCAGGTTATGGAAGGAGAATGCTGATTAGAAAATATTAATAAAATACAATATTTGGGGATGCTGGACATAAACAAGGTAGCTGTCATTTTGTTAACTTCCCTATCAATCTGACTAATACTGTTTTTACACTTACGAATTCCTTAGAACACCTGTTTTTCTGGATGAAGAAAATGTTTGACTTTCAGTGACAAATGTAAATTATCTCCATCATTTTAAGTTGAGTTGAGGAAAAATAATAGTGCCTAGGAAGTGACTAAATATGACTTATGGTGAAGTGCCCTTTTTTGGCCAAGCCAAGTATGAAAACACTTACTCGACACATTCTTTATTCTTTGGTCAGGCCATGCTTCTGTTCGATGGCTCGATTCACAGAAGCAGTTTTACCCTTATTTTTCATCATAACCTCTGACTTTTTCTTAAGTAGTTGTTTTAGTTCAAGTTTGTTGCATCGGTCATAACAGAATATCAACTTATCAGTGCTTCAAGTAGAAATCCATCAGTTCTTTATCCCTTTTCCCATAATTATTTCCTTCTTGCATCTATTTCTTTTCAGTTCCTTAGGCTGACAACTTTTTTCCTTCACACTCACAACATGCTTAGGGGAGCCTGTTGACAATCCATTAAAGATACATCTAGAACCTCACTTCTCAACACCTTAACTGCTAACCTAGTCCAAGCCATGGTTATCTCTTTCTAGATTATAGCTTTACTAACTGGTATCTCTGTTCCTATTGTTTCCTCTCTAGTTTTATTTTCAGCACATAGGCTTGAGTGGTCTTGTTAAAACTAAGTCAGGTAATAGCACTCCTCTGCTCAAAGCACTCAAATGACTTACCTTCCTACTCAAATGGAGCAGATGCCCTACACAGCTGACTGACCCTGGTAATGCTCTCATCTCTTCTTCGACTACTGTGCTCTTTACTCATTCTGTTCCAGACACACTGACACCTGCTGTCCCTTGTTGGCCTTCAGAGTTTCTACCTTTATGCTTCTGACCTGATGCCAGGGCTTTCTGACCTCTTCCTTGCATATCTGGCCATTAATAACCTGGCTCTAGGCCACTGGGCATGAAATGATGCCCCCAAGCAAATACCTGTTTTAGAATTCTGGTTACTCCTCCTTTTGAACTCTCCCCTGCCCCACCCCCACCTCCTTTTCTTCTTCTTCTTTTTTGCAAGGACTTCCTTTTATCTCTTGCCATTTCAGCCATTCATTTAAAATGTTATATTTTACTTAGCATTTTAGATGTCTTCTTTGCTGGCCATTTTGCCACAATGCAAAGTCTGATGAATTGTTATTAACTAGTGAAGTGAGACCACTGATTTCTCAAAATAATTTTGTTTCTTTCTTGGATTAAAGGATGGAAGACTCCAGACAGGGGACCACATCTTGAAGATTGGTGGCACCAATGTGCAGGGGATGACCAGCGAGCAAGTTGCACAAGTGCTGAGAAACTGTGGGAATTCAGTCAGGATGCTAGTTGCAAGAGACCCAATAGGTGAAATTTCTGTAACCCCTCCAACCCCTGCAGCCTTACCTGTTGCCTTGCCTGCTGTGCCCAACAGGAGCCCTAGTTTTGTGAGTACATAAATTATTCTTTCATCATAAATCAAGTTATTGGGTGTGATACATGGTAAGAGTAGAAACACCTACTTAAAATGCCACACTGGTGTGAGTAGTGTCACAGTGACCACCAGCGAAGCAGCAGAAGAGCCTAATTTGGAGACATTGACAAGTTTGATTTTCATTTTTGCTGTTTCTCAGGGTTAAGTCATTCCACCTCTCTGAGCCTCAGCTACTCATCTGTCAATTGGAGGGAAATAATTCTTGCCATTTCTATTTCGTTAAGTTGATGAGGAGACATCCAGACGGTGGAATGGAAACTAAAAACTGATCAATGTATGACAGTTGTCACTGATAATAACAAATTGGCCAAAGGGAGTAAACATTCATAATAATATTTATTATGATTAGTAATAATCATAGTGAAATAATAAAAATCATTATTATTAATTGTTGTCAAGTACCTGGTATTGTTCAGGTCATCTGAATTCTTCCTAAGAATTCTAAAAGATATAGGCTTTGAATCAACAAGGTGATTAGGCAAAAGGAAAGAAATGGTTTTTTTAAAAGAAGGGTCCCGGATTATTGTGATTATTGTGAGAAGGAGATTGGAAAGTCACTGAAGGGCCATTCATCTGAAGGGCCATTTGGTGTCTTCTGTAAAGTATTTGCCTTTGTAGTGAGGGAGCAGTGTAACTGTGATAAATGAGAATTTGATGCAATCATTTGTTTGCTTTCTACTCTTAATGTTTTGAACTATGTTTTTAGATACCTTACTCTTTTATAGGAATAACTTAAATTAGAAGACAAGTAATGAAAATAAGTTTTAGGTGAATATTTTTTGCCTGCAACGATTATTACAGTAATTAACCATTAAAAAATTTTTTTATTGATTTTAAAGGCAAAGGGAGAGGGAGAGAGAGAGATAAAAACATCAATGATAAAAGAGAATCATTGATCAGCTGCCTCCTGCACTCCCCTATTGGGAATCAAGCCCGAATCCCACGCATGTGCCCTGATCAGAAATTAAACTGTGACCTCCTGATTCATAGGTTGACTCAACCACTGAGCCATCAGGGCAGGGCACAAAAATTACTCTTTTTTGTTTCCAAAATTTTTGTTTTTAAAATTTTCTTTATATTTAGTTTTTTTACATAGAAATTAATCCTGAATTTTTTCAAGTTGGCTGTATTAGTTTTCTATTGTGTAATAAGTAATCACAAACCTAGTGGCTTGAGACAATATCCTTTGTTTGTTCACAGTTCTGTAGGTCAGAAATCTGCGTGGGCTTGGCTGAGCTGTCTGCTTAGATTCTTTTAAGGCCAAAATCAAGGTGTGGGCTGGCTGGGCTCTAAATTTGGATGCTCTGGGACAATCCATTTCCAAACCTATTTAGATTGCTGACACAATGCATTCTTTGCAGTTGTAGGACTGAAGTCTCTCTTTGCTGGCTGTCAGCTAAGAGCATCTTTCAGCTCCTTATTCCTTCTAACATATCCCACTCCATCTTCAAACCACAAGTCCAGTCCTTATACTTCAAATCTTTATGCTTCCATCATCAGGAGAAAACTCCACTTTTGAAGGGTGCTTGATTAGATTAGGCTCACCTGGATAATCTCCCTTTTGCCCTGTAATGTGACAAACACAGAAATAGCATCAGGAGTCAAAAGTCAAGACCATCTTAAAATTCTGCCTACCATAAGTGCTAAAAAAAATCCTTGACAAACCATGCACAAATTTATTAGAATGCAGTTATGTGACTAAACATTATGTATAATTACAATTTTTTTTTTCTTTTCAGGACAATTCTCTTTATGAAACTTATAATGTTGAGCTCATTAAAAAAGATGGGCAGAGTCTTGGGATTAGAATTGTTGGCTATGTTGGAAGTGCTCATACAGGTAAATGAATCATTTCAATTTTAGATTTGTAAATAGTTGTAAAGGATATTAAGGTTTCTAGACAGCGAAATTAAATACCTGCAAATTTTAATTTAAACGTTGAATAATAAAACTGTTACCAGACAGGAACCAGACCCGAAATGGGTCTGCCTTAGACTGGCCAGTAGTGTGAAGGTTCTTATTTTAAAAAATATATTTTATTCTTCACAGAGAAGAAGGGAGAGGGATAGAGAGTTAGAAACATTGATGAGAGAGAAACATTGAGCAGCTGCCTCTTGCACAACTCTACTAGGTATGTGCCCACCACGAAGGTACATGCCCTTGACCAGAATTGAATCTGGGACCCTTAAATCCGCAGGCCAACACTCTATTCACTGAGCCAAACCGACTAGGGCATGTGGGGGTTCTTGACTTTGTGCAGGTAAAAGTCCAGGTAATTTTGATAATAAATTTATTAAAACTGGAGACAGTGAAACCAGGAAAGGCCTAGGATAGGAGAAGCAACAGGAGAGAGCCCAGGTGAGGCTGCTTTGGTTCTCTAGAAACGTTAGAGGGGGAAAAGTGAGCCATTACAGGGCGCTGTTAACTGACTGTAAAGTCAGAGAAAATGGGGCCTTGGAGACAGGTTCAGAGGGCTAGTCTGGGGTGAGCTGCCACTGCTCTTTGCTATCCTCGTTGCATGTCTCAGGGGTGGGGGTGTGTGTGGGACCCTTAAAGTGTAGGAGAAAGAAAATTCACTTGAAGCATCGATGGGCTACCTCTTGCATGCCCCCTACCAGGGATCAATCCCTCAACCCAGGCACGTATTCTGTCCAGGAGTTGAACCAACAACCTCTCAGTGCACTGGCCAAGGCTAAGATAGATATATTTTGAATGGTGTGACTCTTACATATTATGACATTTTATATGCAATAAAGTAAAATGACTACTGCATACATCTCATATTATAAATGTCAAAAAGTATTACTATTATGTCTAATTACTAAAAAAATTAAGATAAAACAAATACTTTAATTAGGATTCTTTTTCTTTCATATAAAGGAATACATTGTAAGAATAAATAACATAGCTGGGTAGCTCAACTGGTTAGAGTTTGTTGCGATATGCCAAAGTTGCAGGTTTGATCCCCAAAAGAATAAATACACTGCCTAAGTCTCTCTGAGTAATAATACTCTCAGGGGTAGCCATTCAGGTCATGTGCCCAGGTTTCAGTCTCAATGCCCTGCAGGAGGTTTCTCTCTCTCCCTCTCCTTTCCTCTTTCTCTAAAATCAATGAAAAAATATTTTAAAATAGTCATAATAATGCTCCCTCAATTCCTACATGCAAAGTTTTGGTAACCTTCATGGTAAGACTTACTCTATTATTAAAGGAAATTATTAGAGTAAGGAAAAATAAACCTCTTACAGATATCTTCTAGTAACATAAAAATTCAGAGTTATGAAATGTTCTAGTTTTTTTTAAATAGCAAGATTAGAAAGTTAATTTTTCTAAAGTTATTATTTTATATATGTCTAGCAGGTGGAAATATTAGAAGTGCTAATGTATTCAAAGTCCTGAATGAAATCCATGTCAAACCACCTTGTGCTATTTTAGCCTAATAACAATTTTCAAAACTAGCTTTTTCTAAATGCCACCTTTTTAACGTTCAGCATTTAAATGAGTTTTAAAAGAGCAAAGTATCGCTTGTATAATAATGTTGCAAAAAAACTGTCAGTAGTTCTCACTATGCTGTCTGGGTAGGGAAATCATGGATTGGTTCCTAAATTTTTGGCTTATGAACCTTACTATCTGAAGTTTTCTTGTAAATCTCACACTATATATGCAGAATAAAATGAAAGTGAATAACAGATAGGGAACTGATAAATTTAATGGTTATGTTCCTGAGTAAAGAAAAGATCATTTGACTTATTTACCCTCAAAATAAGTTTTTGGGATTGGAGGGGATGGGCAGTGGTGAATCAAAAAACTAGAACATTTAAAAACTCAATATGGTTTTTATCATGTAGTCTTTCAAAATAATTCTCTTTATTCCATTCATTGGAACTTTTGAGCAGTTACTTTGCTTAGTTTTGGAGGAGGTAGAATAATGAACATAAGAAAAGTCTTGTCAGGGAGACAAACATGTAAATAACTCAATTATTCAATGATAAGTAAAATACATGTTTTAATAGAGATGCAGACAATCTATTAAGGTGAATAAAAGAGTCAGTTGTACAGAAGGCAATGGAGAATTTACAAAGAAAGGCTTTTTGTTAAACATCTAAAAAGGAGAAGAATTTGAAACAAGGGGTGAGGTTGGCAAGAAGAAAAAACCGAAATGAGAAAAAGTCTAAAATCAAGAAAATATTTGGTGTTTTGGTGGAATATCAAGAGTCTTGTGTGTCTGGAGATTTATCTTGTTGGAAGGATAAAGTAAAATAAAGTTTAAAAAAAGAAACTTGGGGCAGATTATGGAGGTCCTTGAATGTGATTCTGTGGAATTTACTTTTGTTATAGAAATCTGTTGTGCTTATTTTTATTTATTTATTTATTTATTTATTTAAATATATGTTTTTATTGATTTCAGAGAGGAAGAGAGAGATAGAAATGTCAATGATGATAGAGAATCATTGATTGGCTTGCCTCCTGCACACACTGCCTACAACCCAGGCATGTGCCCTGACTGGGAATCGAACCTGGGACCCTTCAGTCCACAGGCTGATGTTCTATCCACTGAGCCTTACTAGATAGGGCTGTGCTTATTTTTGTTCTGCAGACAATATTTTAAATTTATTTGATATTAAAAAAATAAAAATATAAAGTCATCCACAGCTATGGGTTTTCTTTTTCCAATTTCCCTTCAAGTCCTTGCCTGTAGGTATGCATATTTTTTACATAGCTGTAATTTTTATATAGCCATATTTTCTGGTTAAATATTTTATTTTATAATGTGAGGATTATTTCATGTTGCTGAGATTATTCTAGTTTTTGAAGACTGTGTATGCCTCTCTTTTTTCTGTGTTTGGGGATGCTAACAAGAACAGTGAACTGCATACAGTCAGGAAGACCTGGTAGGAGATTCTTGTCATAGTGCAGGTGAAAAAAATGTTGAAGGCCATGCCAAGTCTATTGAGAAGTGTGACAGACCAACAGAAGAAGGCTCTTTGAATTCCAACTTATATTGGAGAGCATCTTCTCAAGGTTCCATTACTATTATTTTTCTAAAAATAGTCATCAGTCAAATAATTTCAAATTCAACTTACTTTGACAGTGACAGTTTGAAATAATCCATCAGTTTCTCTGCTTGTGTTCAAAATAGTATTTATCAAGCCTTCTGTCAGCCCTTTTGCTAATTAACCTCTTGATATGAATCTTGCAATCAGGGTCTAATTAGAGCTTTCTCCCCTTTTCCATATGTTTTATGCACCTTAGGGGAAGCTTCTGGGATTTATGTGAAAAGTGTAATACCTGGCAGTGCTGCATACCACAATGGACAAATTCAAGTGAATGACAAAATAGTTGCTGTAAGTAACTGCTCTCTGTTTAGAATTGAATCAAGTTGGGGGAAAAGTTATCTTTATTTAATATAGAGGCTCGATGCATGAAGATTTGTGCAAGAATGGGCCTTCCTTCCTCTGACTGCTGGCATCACCTTTGCCCTGGCCAGAGCTGCCTTTCTTTCTTCCCACACTGCCCAGAGGCCCAGAGCAGCTGCAGTGGTGTGGAATGCCTGCATCCCACCCTGCCCCAGCCACTCAGCGACTGCATATGCAAATTAAATTGCATACTCATTCTTTATTGGCTGGTGGGCATCACGAAGGTACGATCAATTAGCATGTTACTCTTTTTTTAGTGTAGATGAGAAAGGAATGGTTTAATATAGTCCCGTAATACTTAAAAAAAAAACAACCCACTAAGTTTGTTAGTACAATAAAATCTCATTAATTTGGACTCTTATGGGTCCTAAATTTTCTTTTTCTTTTTTAAATGTCTGTGGAGAGTCACTAACTGTATTGGTAAGAAAAATATAATATATACAGGTATGTATTTAATAATAGCTATAGTTTATTTGGAATTTTTACATGCAGTCTCAGACAACCATGGGAAGTAGAAATTATGCCCATTTTTCAGAGGAAAGAAGTTTTCAGAGTATCTATGTTAATAATACATTGCTGGGGTTGGCATTCCAATATAAGGCTCTCAACTTCAAATCCTGTGCTTTAACCATCACATTATAGCAGTTCTGCCAAGCATCAGATTTTTATAGTTTCATAAAATAAAACAAAAAGTTCATAGCTGGTTATATATTTGCAGGTAAAGATCTGCTACCTAATTCACCTGAATATTTTTATGGCACTTGGAATTTTGAATAGCATCAGAAAATGAGACCGTTTACCTGTTAGGCTTAAGTTAAAATGTGTGATTTTAGGACTATGAGTTTGGATTTGCTTTCTTGTGTCTCAGGAAGCTTGTCAGTGTATTTTATACTAATTTTGCATCCTTATTTGAACATTTTCTTAGGTCTAATAACAAATTATTTGGGGAATAAAATGAATTGCCTAACTTGATTTTATCTTGCCAGAATTTAAAATAGTAGCTAACTTGAAACCTGTTTAATGTCGTTTAGGTTGATGGTGTGAATATTCAGGGTTTTGCCAACCAGGATGTTGTTGAAGTATTACGTAACGCAGGGCAAGTGGTACACCTAACCCTCGTTCGAAGGAAGGCATCCTCACCAGCTTCGCCACTTGTGAAACAGCCTCCCCTGGCTGAACAGCCTTCAGACACAGGTAAAGGATTTTACTGTCCCTTCCCCACCTTGTAGTACGGGTTGGAAGAATAGCTCACTGATGGAAGTTGCTCTGTGAGTCTGGGAAGGAAAAACACCCACCTTGTGTAATGCAGATATGGAGAAATTAATCAGCTCATCTGTGCACCGAATAGCTTCCTTCGCCTATTATAATGTGCCAGGCCAAATGTTAGAGCATGAAGCCTGACTCCCATTAAGCCCTGAGAGCTTCTCTAAATGGAGATGGGAATCATTTTCCCAAAAAGCTCCCAAATTTCAATCATTACTTATTTGAATAATAAAGCTTTGGCACCTTTTGTTCAGGAGCTCTCATTTGGCTAGTGCTTTGACATTTTCCAAACTTCAGATTTCATTTTACTTCCAGGGATATATTTGATTCTAATGTCTCTCATTTACCTTTTGAAATATAGCAAGAGAAAATAAAACCTGAATTTCTCTCAAGAACATTTTTATGTGTATAAAAATATTTGTTGTTTTGTAGATTATCATCAATAGTAAACTTTCACTAGGGTATAAAAACATAATTGTATGCATGTCAATTTTTAATTATCAACTTATAAATGTATAGATCAACAAAATTTGACAATCATGAGGACATATATTCAACTTAAAATGAATGACTAGATATAGAACTAGTGAGCAAGAAATAATTCTACCAGGAGATGAATACAGTTGTTTTTTTCCCCTTCCTCTAAAGATTTAATAAGCCTGGAAGCCTTTGCTTTCAACTGATACTGGTTTGTATTAAATTGAAACTTTTTAAGTTTTATGCAATAGTGGAAATTTTGCTGCTGAAAGATAGATGCTCTGTCAGCTGCATTGTATGTATGAAATTTAAAATGGCTCAAATAGTACAAATTGTACAAATGCTATATTGACCTTAAAAGGTTTACATAAATATTTATATCAATATAATGGTTTTAATAGCTCTGATCTACCCCTTGGCTTCAGTTCACTATATCAACTAATGTATACCATCTGTGAATTAGCAATTCTCTCTTTTTTAAAATATGTTTTTATTGATTTCAGAGAGGAAGAGAGAAGGAGAGATAGAAACATCAATAAGAGAGAATCATTAATCAGCTGCCTCCTGCACACTATCCACTGAGCCAAACCGGCAAGGGCAAATTAGCAATTCTTTACTGGGCATCCCTACATTTAAAATTTTTTTTTACTCTAAATCTACACATCTTCCTCCATAGTTTGGGTGTCCTTACTGTGATTTTCACTAGCATCTTTTGAAGAGCACTCTGTTGTAGAATTTATCACACTCCACTGTAATCATTTGTTTTTGTATGGCCACTGTGTAAGGTAGGGGAGTGGTTATACCCTTGCCCTCTGGCCCATGTAACAAGGCTTGGTGTACCTTCCACACAGCATTTAAGTCTGTTTTACTGAAGTAAATTATACAGCTTCCAGCTCTTGCACAACAGCTCCCTCTGGCATTCTAAATCTTACTTTTTCCCCTGTAAATCCTACTTTTTGTGTACCTTATATTGGGGTGAACAAAAATAGGTTTACAGTTATGATTATGCAAAAACAGTTTATTCTTATTTTATTATTTATTAATTATTATATTATTTTTCTTTTTCTTATTGTTATTATTTCATATCCTTACTTATGATTTACTAGAGGCCCGATGCATGCAATTTGTGCACAGGTTTGGTCCCTAGGCCTGGCCGGTGATCAAAGAGCAAGGGCCTGGCATGGAAGAGCAGACCCCAGCAGATGTATGGGCTTTGGGAAGCACCTTGGCCCCTGGGCCCCCACATGCCCCCTCACCTGAGTCATCGTGCCCCACCCAGCTCCCTCAGGCTTGGGAGCCAGGCAGTGAACCTGCCTCTCCCCGGCCCTCCCTGACACCACTGCTGGTCACCATCTGCAGGACAATCGGTGGGGCAATCGGGCCCTGCTTGCATCCACCTTGGCCTGGTGCCGCTCGCTCACTTGCTCCACCATCCTGCCACAGTCCTGCTCTCATCAGGGCTGGCAGCACCTCCACGGCTGCATGCTCCCAGCACCATGTCTCTGCCCCGCCCCGCCCCCTCAGCCCCCCATGGTCCACGCTGCCCCCTGGTAATCGGCACATGTCATAGTGAGCAGTCGAACTCCTGGTTGAGGAAACAATTTGAATATTAGGCTTTTATTATATAGGATCTTTTAGATAATGATGGCTGCTAATTTAACCTACTTTTGCCCACCCCTGTGTAGTTGTTTGTGTAACTATTTTTTGTATGTTTGGTAGCACACAATTACATCATCATACTGCTTTGTACTATAAACTCTGGTGTCTAACCATTCTCTCCAGTGACACTAGGATCTTCTGGCTGGCATTCCTTTCTCTAGTCTGGGCTGTGTATTTAGTTTGTACCAATGGATTTATGATTTTTAAAAATCCTATGTGTAGTTTAAAATCTCATATGAAGATCAAAGGAACTTTTAACTGGTTATCTTTTTCAACCATTTATTATACAAATTGCAAACAGAGAAACTGAAAAATAATACAAGAAATACCCACTAGTTAGATTCAGCAGTTATCATTTTGCCGTATTTGCTTCATCTCTGTATGTTTTCCCCCTGAGCCATTTTAGAATGAGTAGTAGACATGATGACACTATAGCCCTACACACTTCAAACTATTACTTTACAATGAAGGATATTTTTTAGGTAAACATAATGTTATCACACCAAAGAAAATGTATAGTAATTCCCTAACATCAGATACCCAACACATACTTAAATTTTTCCAGTTGCCCCTAAATATATTTTGTAGCTTCTCTCATTCCTCCCACCAAAAAAATCTCATGAAATCATGAATGAATAATGCATTGCACTTATTGGATATGTTATGTTTCTTTGGTTTCTTAATTTTAAAAAATCCCCCACCCCTCTTCTTGCTTTGTCATTGACCTTTGCCTTGCTTTTCTCTTTCCACTGCCTAGTTTCTTACTCTTTTCAAAACTACCAGCATATTTATTTTTTAAGGAATTGATTGGTTATCACACATGAAATTTTAAATAAAGGAGTCATATTTATTAAGTTACCTGAAATATTTGTAATGAAGTTGTGAAACAATAGAACAGGAGAGGAAAAGCTCACTTAAATATGGCCGTTAGTGATTCAAGTGTACAATTCTTATTTTAGGAACTGTTGTAGAACCACCAAAACCACCAGCCCTCTTTCTAGCTGGAGCAGTGGACACAGAAACTAATTTGGATATTGAAGATGAGGAAACTGAAGAAAGAATGGATAATCTAAAAAATGACAACATACAAGCCTTAGAAAAACTGGGTAGGCACAAAGCATTCAATTCAAAGCAATTTGACTTTCTCATTTGTTAACCTTTTTCTCTCTTTTTAGTTAATACAATGTAAGGAGTTTTAGAGGCATTTTGGCTCTATAAAAAGTGGGTGTTTTTAATATCAACATCTTAACACTTGTGGCAGTTGGGAACCAAGTATATTGTTGTTTATTCTTTGGTTATATTAATTTTGAATGCATTTTTATTAGTATGTGATGACTATTTTTAATCTTGTCAGCATTTTAAATTGCTGCATACTTTAACTTGTATATTAGTGATATAGATATACTAGAGGCCTGCTGCACAAACTTGTGCCTGCGCGAGGTCCCTCTTGGTGGACTGTGGGGATCAGGTCAAGACATGCAGCTCTTCTTGATGCTTCTGCTTATCCTAGCCCCAATGCACCTGCTGTGGACTCATTCCCAATTAGTCCCAATCAGGAGAGGCTCATGCTGCCACAGCAGCACTCACCAGTCATGATCCCCTCTCCCCCTCGTGCCCTCCTGAGGGGAGTGGCCTGTGGGATTGGGATAAAACCAGCTCACTGACATCACTTGAGGGATCCTGGATTTCGAGAGGGCACAGACCAGGCTGAGGATCCCACCAATGCACGATTGGGGCTGGGAAGGGACCACAGGAGGGCTCCAGGGCATGTGTCCCCCCCCCCCCCATCTTGCCCAGACCTGACCAGCCAGACCCCAGCAGCAAGCTAATCTACCTGTCAGAGTGTCTGCCCCCTAGTGGTCAGTGCACATCATAGCAAGCGGTTGAGTGGCCTTAGTATGTCATTAGCATAATACACTTTGGTAACTCTTTTGGATCCAAGATTTTTAAAATATATATGTTTTTATTGATTTTAGAGGGAGAGAAAGATAGAAACATTAATGGGCTGCCTCCTGCATGACCCCCACTGGGGATAAAGTCCACAACCAGAGTATATGCCTTGACCAGGAATTGAAGCAGCAGTCTCCTGGTGTATGGAACATTGCTCAGTCAACTGAGCCACACTGGCAGGCTGGAAGAAGTTTAATAGGCAGGATAGTAGAACTCTTCATGTAATTTCTTATAGAAATGTTAACAGAAGTAGACACAAAGGTGCAGAGCCCGCACAAATGGTATTTGGGTTTTAATAGGATCTTTGGGTAGTTATCCATGCAATGTAAACTAACATATAGTTATTTCATGGATATTCTTTTGTAAATTTAGTAATTTAAATTCTTCAGTGTTCATTAGTCTTCGTCTTTGATTTCTGAGGTTAGTCTGTTTTAGTTAAGGATTATGTAGTTACATTTTATGTAGTTAAGCATTGTGTGCATCCAGGATGAGCTGTCCATGCTGAAGACTGAAAGAGCTGATATTGCAAGTTTTGTTTGATTTTAAATAAATAGTTATGTCACAAGTTGTGATAAGAGTTCTGCGACTTGTCTGATCTTGTGTCAAAACTGAGAGTTTTCCTTCAACTTAAAGAAAAAAGGTGTGGCATGCTCTGGTTTCTCTTCAGACCACATACATCTTTCGCCTTTCACTAAAGAAAAAAGGTGTGGCTTTGTTTATTATATGCTACTACTATAAATATAATTTGAAATTATGGTTTTAGTACTTTAACTTTTGACTAGTAGGCATTATTCAGAGTATAAACCGTGTGGTAAGCTGCAGGCTAAGCTGATATAGAAGACAGGCAGGACACTTACAGTCTGTCTTAGCTCTTTAACATCATCTTACCTGTGTAAAAAAGACAATATTAATGTCAAATAAGAAAATCTTAAAGATACAACGAAACCACAAAGACCAAAGTAAAAGCAAAGTTTCTATTATATTAAATTTCATGAACTCAGTGGTTGAATTAAAACCAGACACACCTTTATATCCACCCAAGAGAAAAGTCTGAGTGGATTGTGTTGATACGCCTACTTGATTGGAAAGATAGCTTGATGCGTTTTTACTTTTCCTGTGGGTGAGTGGAAGGTACTGCTTTTAAATTAAATCCTTGTTTGTCCTGAGATATTATATAAAGCAAAACCAGATGCATTTGACTTATAAGCTACAGGATGTTTACTTATAAGCTGTATGTAATTAAAATTTCATTTATAACTCATCACTTCTTCCCTTTACAGCATTCCTTAATAACAAAAGCCCCTTCAAAATTTGGTCATGCCAATCTTTACATTTTACATTAGTCTTAGAGGGTACCTCTGATTTACTTTAGTAGGTTTAAGTTCATACATTTTCATTTCATTTATTTCCATTTTATTTACTGAAACTGCTATTATTGAAGAATTAAGTTGTGTGTTTGGCTCACAGTAGTTTTAACATCTTTAACATCACCCCCTCACCCCCCCCCCTTTTTTTTTTTAACCCAGAAAGAGTCCCTGACTTTTCAGAAAATGAGCTGAAATCGAGATGGGAAAACCTATTGGGCCCTGATTATGAAGTTATGGTATGTTAAGATCTTCAAATAAAAAACACTCATGTCTCATTTCATGTCATGCCCTTACCATTACAATTTAAAAGAATGGGATAGTCAAAGAGTAGCCAGCCTGTATTTATTTTTTCCTTCTGCCTTTCTTTCCTGTTAAATCAATCAATTGATTATTATTATTATTTAGCATTTTAAGCTATTAAATCAAGTAAGGACTACACACAAATTTTGGTTACAATTAGCAGGCCTTCAGTTCATGCTGAAACCATTTAAGTCTACGATAGGCAGAAAAAATGTTAGGAGAGAGAGGACTTGCCTTTAAATTTATAACCTGTCTCAGCTGCTTAAAAATTGCTGGCATTTTTATGATTGCTTTTATGATCTGTTTGTTTTATTGTGCACTGAAAGGGAAGTGGATATTAGCCCTATGTTTCACAAAGAATCTTACAGTTTTATGAGAAAAATGAAAGAATGATTATCAAATGTATTTGGGAGAACAGGAGGTAATTTAGGTTAGGTATAAGTTTATAGTGCCAGTGGTCCATTAGACTTCCTTTCACCTGTTATTAGATTCATTGAGTAAGGGATTGATTACATTTCCCCATTTGAATCCACATGAAAGCAGACATCTATGCTTAGAAAAGTCTCTACCGTATTCACTAAATGCGTTTGTAATAAAATATTCTATTTCATTTCTATTGTCATTAACATTTTCTTACATGTGTTTATCATTAGTACTTGTTGGCTGGTTGGAGATTTTTCATTTCTCTTCTCCGTTCAGAATAGGCAGCCACTTATAGTCGAACATTTTCCAGTGTCATTAAGATGAGTCAAAACAGTTCATACATTCTCTTCTTGCTAATTTTATCCTTGCGTATCATTCCTCAGGGACTACTTGCTTCTTTATTATACTTCATAGATTTTGAATGCTATTTTGTCAGTAGGCTGTCACCTAGGAAATGATTGGGCTACTATCCTTTATGGTTTGATGTCCAAAGTAATGTGGTGTATCAGTGTTTATAAATGGCCAGTTTTGTGATGAACTGTTTTTTGTTAAAATGTTATCCTCCTTACAACTACCCTTCCAGATATCATTTATCACATGGAGAGATTACAACAGAGAGGCTAGAAAGGGGGGGACAGAATTTGAGGTTGGAAATTTAAAGTGATCGCTTATTCATTAAGAGTTGTAGCTTGTTCTGAAGAATGAAGAGCAGAAAGAAGCCAGGCAAGATGAATGAAGGCATGCATACATATACTCCAGTGTTCCTCATTTTATTTTCTTCCAGCATCTACTTATCTGCAGTACTTTTTAAAGCTTTAGTTGGATCATTGTTTAGCTTATCTCCTCCCTCCATATGCATCCTATTTTATTAACAACTTACAGATGCAAATCATCAGTAAAGTATTTTGCTTGTAAGCCATTCATTTCTGAGGGTGTCCACCATTGGCACTTTGAACAGTTTTAGGCCAGGGTTAAAAGTTTTAGGCCAGGATTAAAAGCGTTAGGTATTCCATGAGCCTCCCACTAGTCCAGGTCTTCCCATTTATGTCCTTGCCAGCCATTTCTCCTAAGGAAATGGTTTGATCTTGTTGGGGAAAGTCAGACACATAATTTTCCCATATTTGTCTGACTTCACTGACCATGCAAAATTTGTTTTAAGGCCAGAATTTAAAAGTAAAAATGACCAGACTCCTGATTTTGTCAAAAGAATGAAATTTTTTTATAGCCAACATATTTTTGGGTTTTATTATTCTTTTTAAAAAAATATATTTTATTGATTTTTTTTACAGAGAGGAAGGGAGAGGGATAGAGAGAAACACTGATGAGAGAGAAACACTAATCAGCTGCCTCCTGCACATCTTGTACTGGGTATGTACCTCAACCAAGGTACATGCCCTTGACTGGAATCAAACCTAGGACCATTGAGTCCACAGGCCAATACTCTATCTACTGAGCCAAACCAGTTAGGGCAAAAATGAAATTTTTTATGGAGTCAATATAATAAAGGATTATATTAAAATTTTAGGGATTGTGGATTTTTTTAAAAAATAGTATATGTATTTGCCCATCACCATTTGATTCAACTTTCGAATAAGTTAGGGCCATGGTCGGCAAAGTATGGCTCGCGAACCATATGTGGCCCTTGGGTCCCTTGAGTGTGGCTCTTCCACAAAATACCACAGCCTGGGCGAGTCTATTTTGAAACAGTGGTGTTAGAAGAAGTTTAAGTTTAAAAAAATTGGCTCTCAAAAGAAATTTCAATCGTTGTACTGTTGATATTTGGCTCTGTTGACTAATGAGTTTGCCAACCACTGAGTTAGGGAAAAAAAGAGAACAACAGAAAAGCAAATATTCTCTGAAATTTACATTATATATTATACTTATGGAGTTGAGAAATATAGGAAAGAGATTAGAATGCAGGTCAGGTGCATTCTTTCACATGGAACATAGATTTTACCGATTTTTAAAAATTTATTATTATTTCAGGAAACCTAGGAAGAAGTAAAGTTATGCTTTTATAAATATTGAATCTATTTTTTTCTTGTAAATTTAGGTTGCTACTTTGGACACACAGATTGCAGATGATGCTGAGTTACAGAAATATTCAAAGGTAAGCATTATTTCTTTTTTTTTAAAGTTACCAGTTTTTTGATGTTGGAAGAATTTCCTCTAAGTTCTTGTCAAAGAGATTAAATTAGTGCTCTAACCTAGTTTCCAGAATTGAGCCTTAGACGTTTTCTGGAAATTTCTCACTTATGAAAGGTGATGGTGAGCTATGCCTGGGAAGAACATGGGGTCCCTTCTACCACTTCCCAGAAACCAAAAACTCAGGTTTGACTGCTTTGCCCACCTTAAAGGTAGTACAGAGTAACATTGTGCAAAGTGTGTGTAAGCTTTTCAGATTTTTATAAGAAGGCCTTTTTAAGGTTTTCTAAAAATCAAGACCACAAATATAGACTTTAAAAAACCCTTCAGGTCCAGATGTCTAAGGACAGAAAAGTGGTTTATCTTCTGAGTATAAGCAATGTTTTTTCTTGAACTTAAAAAAATTTTTTATAGTGAGAGCTTTATTTCTAATGGCAAAACGCCAGAAGGTAACTTTTACCATTTTTAGTATCCTCTCACTACAAATTAATTTTATAGTTCCTGTTCTGGCTAATCAACAGCCAGGGAATTAAAACTTAGAATAGCCACCTAGGTGGCTTTCCCGGACAAATGGTAAGAAAGGTAAGGTTTTCTTGTCAGAATAGTTTCAAACATTATACTGTAACCCCACCTGGGGTAAATGAGCTGAGCCCAGCTTAAACTCTGCTGTCACATGTGTGTGTTACGAGCTGTCGAATTGGCTCCAATTTCTGGAGACCCTATGGTGTGTGAAGTCCACAATGTCCTGTCTTCGACAGCCCAGCTCAGTTCCTATAGACCCATGCCTCCAGCTTCTTCTTCTTCTTTTTAAAAAAAATATATTTTATTGATTTTTTACAGAGAGAAAGGGAGAGGGACAGAGAGTTAGAAACATCGATGAGAGAGAGTCATCGATCAGCTGCCTCTTGCACACCCACTACTAAGGATGTACCCACAACCAAGGTACATGCCCTTGACCGGAATCGAACCTGGGACCTTTCAGTCCGCAGACCGATGCTCTATCCACTGAGCCAAACCGGTTTTGGCGCCTCCAGCTTCTTTATGGAGCCAGTCCATCTCATAGCTGGTCCTCCTCTTTTCCTGCTGCCTTCTCTTTTCCCTAGCATTCCTGTCTTTCCTAAAGAACCCTGCCTTTTTATGATGTGTCTGAGGTAGGACGGCTTCAATTTTGTCAGTTTTGCCTACAGCAATGCACTAGGCTTAATTATTAGCTCTCGGGTCCACTTTTCATCTTTCTGGCTGTTTCAGAGTATCTGTAGACTCTCTTCCAACACTGTATTTCAAACGAATCAATTATTTTCCTATTCGCCTTATTCACTGTCCAACTTTCGCATCTGTACATGGTAATTGGGTACACCAGGCTGTGGATGATCTTAGCCTTGGTCTCTCAGGATACATCTTTCCTAATTCTTCCATTGCTGCCCTGCTGAGCCTCGGTTTTCTCTTGATTTCTTGGTTGCAGTCTTCATGTGAATTGACGGTTGAACCAAGGCAAGCGAAATCTTGAACAATTTCAATAGCTTTCTTGTCTAGGTTAAAATTGTGTATTTTTTCTGTGTTCACAATGTTCAAATGCAGTCTGTTTTGGCACTTTCTGCTTTCACCCTCATCAGACGTCATTTCAAATCATTGCTTCTTTCTGCCAATCAGATGTTGTCACCAGCATATCTTAAGTTATTGATATTTCTTCCAGCAGTTTTCACTCCTCATTTCTCTGAGTTTAGCCCCTTTTTATGTATGGTTATGTTCTGTGTACAGATTATACAGATGGGGAGATAAAATGCACCCTCATCTGCCATCTTTGCCTATGGGAAACCATTCTGTCTCTCCATAATCTGTCCACAATATAGTTTATACATCAGGACAGTAAGTACCTAGGCACACCTCTTTCTTTCTGAGCATCCTACTGCTTCTCAAGGTTGATACAACCAAAGGGTTTTTGCTTCATGGGATCTATTGGAATAAAATATAATGTGCCTAGAGTAGTTACAAACACATAGTAGTCTGTTATTCTTATGTATCATTCATATAAATCAATGGTATTTCCCCCTAACTTTGTACTTTAATTTACACTGCACTTTTAGATTTTGGATATTTTCTATTTAACCATCTTTCAGTTATCTAAATTCCCTCTTTCTAATCTGCTGCTAAAGCCTATCTATTGAGTTCTTACTTTTAATTATAGTTTTCTATTCTCAAGTTTGTTTTATTTATTTTAAAATTATAATTTTTTTGTTTGAATTCTCCATTTAAAAAAATCTGTATATGCCATCTTTTTGCTGTTTCTAGGAGATATTAATCATAGTTTATAAGGACTTTAAATAATTAATTCTGTTATCCAGATCAACTTTAGATATGTTTCTATTGTTTGCGGGTTTCTCTGGCTATGGTTGTTTGATTGCTCATCTTGTAATCTGATTGAATGCCTGACATTGTGAGGTTCAGGCTCTGTCCAGCTTGCCTTTTCTCCTAAGACACAGCCTTCCAGGCACTCCATGTGAGTCTGGGGGTATTTACCAGTCCCCTCCCCCTCCTGGGACCTGGTTTCCATTTCTGTCTCCTTAGTATTTGGGGCCTCTGAAATCTTTGCTTTGCTTTCCCATGGTTTCCTGACTAGCTTTTAGCCTACCTCCCCGCATAGCATTAGAGCTCAAGAGTTGTCCTTGGTGGAGAACGTGGCTTAGCTCAGGCTCAGTTCATCATGCAGCTCATCCTCCCATTTCAAAGCTGTAAAACCCTGTATCATCATATTCTGTAATAAATAAATAAAAAAAGGATAATAACCATACTTAGTGTACATCTTAAAGAATGCCATTGTTTTTCTCCAGAAAGAAAGTGTTTTCGCTCACCTTTAGTCCCTAGTTCCTGTCACTAGTCTCATTAATTTTATTTTCCCAGACCAACTTTTGTGTATTATACCTATATATTATATATGCAATATATATTATGTATATATATATTGTACTCAGTAACTCTAGTATAAAAGTGTAGAAGGGCTTTGAGTTCAGCAGACTTTATGAACCACCTGATAGAAATTCACCAGTACTAGCGGGCTCTGTGGCACAATGGATAGCACATTGGACTACCAGTAAAGAAACTACCGGTACATTCAGTTGTTCATTCACTCATTTCTTCATTCATTCATTTATTCATTTATCAAATATTTTTAAATATCTATTCTATGGTCCTCTATTGGGTACTGGGGTTTCAGAAGAGGATACAACAGAAAAATATCCCTACCCTATAGAACTTATATTTTAGTGAGGGGAGATAGCAAATAAGTAAGTTATATATCATAGTATGGGTGATATATGCCATGCAGAATATTAAGGCAGGGAAAATGGATAAGAAATTTAGGAGAGTGTGGATTGGCAATTTCAGAAAGTTTGACCAGGCAAAGCCTCATTAAGAAGGTGACATTTGGGGAAACACTTTAGAAGGTGAAATAGCAGCCTAAAATTTCTTCTACATAGTATGAACAATAATACTACATTATAGATGATTAATAAATATATTTAATATATGACTCAATTAATGTAGCTTAGTGCCAACACAGGAATTGTTCAATAAATGGTAATTTTTCCCCAGTTGTATATTTCATATACTTTTAGTCTGTGACCTTTCAAAGGCTCCTTTTTAAAAACAATTTTTATAAGCTAATATGAAACATTTAATTGTTAATTGAAATGTTGTGGCAAAATGTGTTTTTTTTTAATTTAATTTTTTGGTCTGGAAGAGAAAATTACCCACAGTTGCATTATTTTTTCATATTTAGTTATCTGTATATGATTACATATGTATAGTTGGTATATATCCAACCTTTTCTATAATATATGTATGCGAGAAAGGCTGTGTATTTTTTCTACATAACATCATCCTATATATTTACTTTTTAATATTGATTTCTTAATTTTAAATGTCCATAAATTATTTATTTTGATGAATTATCATTTTTAAAAAATCCTTTTAATATTAGAAGTTTAGTTTAGTTTATTTAGTTGCTTCTATTTCTCCTTATAATATGTAAAGGAAACTAGCTTATCAAAACCCATTTTACAGATGAGAATACTAAAGTTTGCTCCGAATTTACAGCCAGAAAATAGCAAAGGCAGGTTACAGCTTAGAGCACACTCATACATTAATTCCTTCCTTCCTGAAATACTTACTGAACTCCTCCTGTATCCCACATGGCTACCAACTGGGGGAAACCAAATGGAAAAAAATGCTCCCATAGAGCGTGGATTCTGGGCTTGGTAGGTGCCTGATAATAAACAAAAACTCCGTAAGATGGCCGTATGTTGTAAGGAGTGATACAAAGGAACACACAGGGTGATCAGAGCACCCCTGGGGGCGAAGCACTTTAGAGAGAGCCAGGAGGAGGTTTTCTAGCTGAGGCACCAAGGATGAGAACAGGCAGTTGGGAAATAGGTGATCTGTAGGAAGGGGCTAGCATGCGGGAGGAATGGAAGTTGTTGCAGAGTGTCTGGGTCAAACTAAGGGAAGGGGCAAGTGTTGTCGGTTGAGGCAGGTGCTGTAGCGCCTCCAGATCCGTAGTGGTGAGCCTGGGCTCTGTTAGCAGTGTCAGGTGACAGCCATGGAAGGATTTAAGCAGGGTAGTGTCTTGATCTGAGGTCAAAGCTGCCGTTTTTCCCTCTGCCCCATCAACTTCCTGGTTAGGAAAATCATGTTTCATGGCTCTCATTGGTGCTCCTAAGGCCCTAGCTGTCTGTAGATGGTCACTCCATAGCCACCACCCTGGAAGGGATAATGGCTTAAGAAGCATCTTCATGTGCTGTGGAGTTGGGGATGGTGGGGGAGGTGCAAGTGATTTACAGTGGCTTGAGCATTAGCGGTGCTGCTTCTAGGAAGCTGTTAATCATGACACAAGAATGGTTTTCCCGCATCTGGGGAGACTTGCACTTTTAGGGATGGCTTTGTTGGCAACTGTTTACTGTTACGATAATC